TATATATAAACATACACGTAAACATAAACATAATATATACACACACACAAACATATATATATATATATATGGGCGGGTGATTGGATGTGTTGGGTTGTGGGAAAGTGGAGTGCTCCTTTCCAATATCGGCGTGTGGGCCAATGCACCTGGTCTGGCTGAATTGGGTTGTGTTTGCACCTCGTCTGTGATTCATCAGAGAGTACGTTTAAGTTGCAGTGGCTGCTAGGATATCTAGTCGTGTCGGTGTTCTTGAGGGTATTAGTTGGTGTTCGGGTGTGAGCAATGTTCTGCTCTATAGTTAGACTTAAGCCATAGCACTCGGTTGGCCAGGACTTATTCTGTCCCATTGAGAAGCCTATACCCATGCGTGCTCTATGAGATGCTAGCTACTTCAACAGTGTGCTTGTATATAGTACCAAGATCTGTCTGTGCACCTGTTGTCCTGTGATTGGTTCCTTACAGAGTCTGATTTGTCCTGTCCTAATTATTATATTTTGGGCCCTGGTCTCAGTGACTTGCCAGGTGAGTGTCCTTCCGCAGACCTCACTCCGTCTCGCACGTCACTTCCTAGGTGTGCCACTGACTGCTGCATATCAATCTGGGACTGATTGTCACCTGCACAAGTCTTATTCCGTCACGTGTTTATTTTCTCATGCGCCCAGTCTTATTCCGTCACGTGTTTATTTTCTCATGCGCCCAGTCTTATTCCGTCACGTGTTTACTATCCCAGGTGTGCCACTGGCGGCTGCATATCAATCTGGGACTGATTGTCACCTGCACAAGTCTTATTCTCTCACATGTTTATTTTCTCATGCGCCTAATCTTATTCCGTCACGTGTTTACTATCCCAGGTGTGCCACTCGTTGCTGCATATCAATCTGGGACTGATTGTCACCTGCACAAGTCTTATTCCGTCACATGTTTATTTTCTCATGCGCCTAGTCTTATTCCATCACGTGTTTATTATCCCAGGTGTGCTACTGGCTGCTGCATAACAACCTGACCGTAACCATTGCGGCGTGTGACACATTCCGTGCTGGTGCTGTGGAGCAGTTGCGAGTGCACCAGAGCGCTCTACGACAGACCATCAGCGATCCCTCTCAGGTATGTGTGTACTGTATGTGTATTTTATATTGTATGTGTATGTGTGTACTGTATGTGTATTTTATATTGTATGCGTATGTGTGTGCTTTGTGTGTATTGGATATTGTATGAGTGCATGTGTGCAACACAACAAAGTCCACTTCAGTCCATCTGTCGTCGTTCGTAAGTATGACTAACTGAGTACATTCATTCAACAGATGTACCTGCCTGAACTCATACTCTATCTTCTCAAGTGCAACTGTATGTATATTCAAATATGTATATATATATGTGTGTGTGTGTGTGTGTATGTGTGTGTGTTTGTGTATATCTGGGTCTGGGTATGTGTGTGAGTATGTATCTATGTATTTATGCATGTATCTATATAT